GTTTTTATTATTTGAAAAAATTAATGACAAACTTATTGATGAATTTTTACGTAATATAAGCGATAGTAATGTGATTACAATCAGTATTTATAGGAAACAAATCATATTTACAACAGAATTATATAGAAATTATGGGCAAAAAATTAGATTAAATAAAGTATTTGTAGTGTTTTTGCAAAACTATGTATTAGTTTTGGAGATTAGTATGGATTCAGTGAGTCTCGCGCTTTCAATCTCTTGCTTTTGTCTCAGGTTTTGCTGCTTTTCATACATCAATCGCTTCTTCGCCCGAACCAACGCTTTGGTCGCTTTGATTAGCCGTTGAATGTACTGAAACTTTCCGCGTTCAATGCGGAGGAATGCGGCAGAGAATTGATCCGTACTATAGATAGTAATCAATAAATCCAATTAATGCATACAATCTTTATATTTAAATTCATTCACATAAGCGATCCAATGCTTACCAATAGAAGTGTTTATCTGCGGCCGGAATCCTGACCCGCGGGTGAATCGCTTCGTCCGGATATGACTTAGCATTGATCGGTAGAATCAATTGAATTGGTTTTCTTAAGGCTAGGATTTCGACCACAAGTCTACAAGAGATCAACAAAACAATATGGTTTGTAAAGATTGTCACAATAAACAGATCTTTGCATTCAATGAGACAATACCTATACGTGTCGTTCACTTTGGGATACAATCGGCAGACCTCTGAAGAGGCGATTACGCGGAGTTCGGACAACAGTCTCTTCGCACTCATGGCTCGGATGGAGATATAAGAGACCAATTCATCCAACGATGCGCTCGTCTTGTGTTTGCTTTTGATGTGTTGTTCTTCGGTCTCAAACGAGGAGATGATTAAGTCGTGCGCTATTGTTATCAACGGCTTATGGAAGTCATTGAACTTTAAGAGAAGACCCTTTTGGCGCATTTTGAGCGGCTCTTCGGCGCTGACCAACGATTTCATGTTTATGGCTGTAATGCGGCGAACAGTAAACGCAGTGTTGGCCTCCGGAACCACATCACCGAACCTGACCTCCAGCGCAAAAGTTCCCCACAAATAGCTGATGAGCGCCTTGTCGTCGGTGAGCGACTCGCATGTGAAGCCCAACTCCTTGTCGTCCAGTCGTCGTAACGGCGCGTACAGATCTGTTGGCTCGTCGGCCGCCGACATGTTATAAATGGTCAGATTCTGGTCTTCGTCGGGAATCACGATGTCGTCGATCTGTCGCTCCAATTCGTCGGCCAGAATGCAAAGCGTGTCCTCTCTTACCATAAACGACAGCTGCAGAGGACTCGTTGTCTCGTAAAACGTGGTGTTTGTGTGAAACGAGCGATTCGTGTGAATAAACGGATCAAACGATTGCGAGTCTTCGTCGGAAGAGGCGTTGAATGTAAAGTTAAGCGTCGGGTCGGCTGTTGTGGGACTCGACACCAGATAATCACCGCTCGAGTGAATGACCGATACGGACAGAGGAGACGTCGAGTTTAGGTTCAGCGAAGAGGTGTTGTGAAGAGTGGACGCCGACGAAGACAGGGACGAGTCCTCAGAACTCGAGTCCGACGACGATTCGCCGGCAGTGGTTGTCTTCAATTCAGTGTCCATTTCTGTGTCGACAGCGCTCGTCGACTGAGCGCTCGTTTCGGGCGTCGAATCGACCTTTGATTCAGTGTTTTCATCACTTTTAGCATCTGATTTGGATTCAGTGGTCGACGAAGAAGTGTTGGATTCGCTTTCGGACGAATTGGATTCCGATTGCGAAGAATTAGATTCAGTGGTTGAAGACTTGGACTCTGGTTTCTCAGTGACATTCGATTTATCATTGATTTGGGACTCATCTTCGCGGACGCTTTCATTATCCACATCCATGTCTTCGTCATCCACTTCTAAATGAGACTTCGATCCAAACAAATCAACGGACACAACACTGTGGCCACGAATGGACACTTCCACGGGATCAGTGGCTGTCGCGCGTTCGACCTCAACCTCTTCGGCGGCAATAACGAGCACAACAGTTGGCTCCAGAGACTTGGCCTCCACTTCAACAGCGGGAACAGCGACAGTAACGGACGGCTGTTGTGGTGGTGGGTGTTGTCTATCTTCGGGCGCGTCCTTCAAATCGGTGGTCATAACACTCTGGCGTCGTTTGGCCTCAAACTCGTTGCGCTTTTGACGCAACTTCTCGGTCACATCGAAACCGAAAGACTTGAACACAG